CCTTAACAGGGCCCTGATGGCAGAAACGGTTGCTGGGCCCTCCTCAGTGTCTTGGGGACACTCCCCCCTGGCCCTGGGGCACCCTCCTGCCCCCAAAGCCCCAGGCCTAAAGAGCCCTAGGCTTCATCCTCCCCCCATCCCTGTCCATCCCTCTGCTTCTCACTGTAGGACTTGGTCTCGGGGTAGAGGGACCAGGGGTCAAAGCCAACAGGAACACTGATGCCGCTCAGTGGAGTTGTTTGGGAATTTTATGACCATGCATCACTCACGCCTGTGGAGAAATGCCGTGTAAGGGTGGAAGGAGCTCTGAGTCTCTCACAAGAGGTTTTCACCCCGTGAACCGTGTTCCTGAGGTGGGTGAGGCTTCCCCCCGGTTGGGAGCCTTGCTGAATGGAATGGATGTAAGCCCACCCGACCCGAACCACTGAGCCAGGCTTTCCTCCGCCTGCGCACTCACCTACGGTGTCCGGCTTGGTGCTCTGGATGTGCAGGTAGCCGCTCTCCCTCACTAGGTTGAAGAAGGTCTTCTTTAAGGGGCACATCAGCTCCATATCCCTCTTGGTGTAGCCAAAAAGCCTCCCAAAGCGCCATCCCAGGAGAAGGGTCAGGGTGTAGAAATTTCTTAAAATGAATGCCATGTTCAAGTGCAGGCCTTTCACGTGCCTGAGGGCAGAGAAAGACCAGGGGAGGCTGGGTGGCATCAAGGATGGGGAAGCGACAGGGGCGGAGACGGAGGAGAAAGAGGTCACAGGGCTGAAGAGCACAGGGCCGGCCCTCTTTGGCATCGGCCCCCTGGGGTGACCACGTGGTGGAAGAGCAGGTCCCGGTCAGGCCTCTCCCAGGACTTGGTCCATCAGAAAGGTCTACTCCCTGACTTTCCCCTCCTCTAACTGGCCCTCTCTGCCTGGGAACCTGGCCCAGAGTCACCAATCCTGTGTGACAAGTGGAGGGAAGATCCATGTCGAAGTGCCCCAGGCAGAGCTGAATGACGGACACCCTCCCTTGTCTCCCCTGGGCCCACACATATCCTGCCTGTGTGGCCCCTGCTCCAAGGCTCAGACACTACGCCCAGGCAGGGCCTGGCATGCATAACCCGCCTCCCTGCACATCCACCTCACATGGGCGGTGCACACACACCTGCACACGTACACACACGCCTGACAGCCACCCTCACCTGGGCACCAGCTGGGCCATGTTGGTGCAGATCAGGGCTCCCCAGTCTCCGCCTTGAACACAGAATTGCTGGAAGCCCAGCCGCAGCATCAGCTTATAAAAGATCCTGGCAGTGGCCACCGAGTTGAAGCCTGGTTGTAAAGGGGAAAGAAGAACGGTGTGGGGGTCACGCCTTGGGTCCTCCCCGGCCCTCTGAGATTCCTCATCCCCCCCGCCCCAGGCTGAGGGGAGAGCAGCTCACAGGGGGTGAGAAGGAATCCTGGAGCCCAAGGGTGGGGTGGCCAGTGCCCAGAAGGTAGTGCCCCTGGTACTGGCCTTGGTGCAGGAGACAGTGAGGGCGTGTGATGGGCTCAGGCCGGTCCGGCTGAGCGTCCGTGGGCCCACGCTGCGTGCGGGGCTTAGCCGGCCTCGCTGGCCCGGAACAGTGCAGGGCCCACACGTGGACCTGCCCTGAGTGGGCAGCTCCTGAGGACACGAGAGTCCAGGCCCTGAGCCAGCTCTGGACAGTCGTGACTCGGCCCGGTCCCCCGTCTGCCACGCCCCTCACATCCTGAGAAGATGCACTGGCCCTCTGGCAATAAAATCACCCCCATTGCTTCTCTTCCCTCTGGTCTCAGACCCCTCCTTCCTCAGCCTCCTTAGGCTCTGAAGGAAGCTGTCCCAGCCGACTCCCCACCCCTGGGGCAGTGACACAGCCTGCAGCAGCCCGTACCCTTCTTGGAGGATGCCTCTGAGAAACCATAGCCAGGAATGGATGGACAGATGACTTCAAAAACATGCTCATCGCTCAGGCCATGGTTCTTGGGGTCAGTCAGGAACGGGATGATCTTATAAAACTCGTAGAAGGAGCCAGGCCAGCCATGCACCATCAGCAAGGGCTTTGGGGTCTGGCCGGAGGGCAGCTGGGGGGGCTTCACATGGATGAAGTGGATGTCCAGGCCTAGGGAGACAGAGCACAGTCAAGGTCAGGGGGAGAGGGCCCTGAGGCTGTGGAGGCCACAGTCCCAGCTCTCAGGGTAGCCAATCAGGCTCTGCACCGCCAGAGCAGGAGTGCCACCCTCGGCGCCCCCATGGCATTGACTACAGTCACCACCGCTAGTGCTGGCTGAGTGCTTACACGGAGCTCCAGATACCCGGGTAGCTCGCTCGGCCTCACAGCCACCTGCAGCGTGCCCCTCTCACGTGAGAACGTGAGCTCTGTCTGTAAGGCCGGGGCCAGGCTGCTCATGCACGGCTGGATTCCCAGAGGCCAGAATAGGTCCTGGCTCTTGGCAGCACTCAATGAATACTTGTTTAATAATTTACAAATTGTGGGGGGGAAAAAGCCCTATATATCCAGCAGTAGAGAATGAAATAGATTATAGTTTAACAGTATACTGTAATATAACACAGTCATCTAAAATGACTTCCCTAGCGGTCAGGACTCCCCGGGCGGTGCAGTGCTTAGGACTCCGCGCTTCCACTGCAGGGGGCACAAGTTCAATCCCTGGTCAGGGAACTAAGATTCCACATGCCGGGCGGTGCAGCCAAAAAGTAAATAAATAAAATAAAATGACAGTGTCGACGTGTATTGAATATAGAAATCAGTTCCGTATACATTGCTAAGTGGTAAAAGCAAACTACCAAGCCATATCCATCGTATGACCAATTTTCGTAAACAGTCATATGTATGCATATGTTTACACCGTGTGCATAGGAATTTTAAAGTCTGAAGAGATAAACTACAAGAATATAAGAAGTAGTCCCCTCTGAGCAATAGAATTTCAAGTAAATTATTGTCTTTTTTGTGTTATATGAACTTCTAAATTTTTCTACAATGGACATGTGCATAACTTTTTTTTTTTAAGTGGAGAAATTTTTTCTAAGGTAGAGTGCTGGGCACCGGATCACCATCGTGGCCAAGGGCAGGTGAATGGATTCCAGGCCCCACTAGAGTCCCTTTGATAGCAGTCCCTTCCCAGGCAAGTGGCCTGGATTGCACCTGGGTGTTCAAGGCAAACACAGCCAGGGCTGCTGGCACACCTAGAACCCTCCACCATGAGGGCTGGCACCGATAGCAAGGTCTGTTGTTTATTCATTATACAAATAATACATGTTTTCTATAGAAAACAGGAAACAAAGGTAAATCAAAAGGAGGGAAAAATCACATTGTAATCCCATGATCTGAAGAGAACATTGTGTTGTCTGTCCAACTTTTTGCAACAAATTTTTGGGGGGAACAATTTTATATTTATAGAAAAATAGTAAAGCTAGTATAGGAAGTTCCCATATACCACTACTCAGTTTTCCCTACTATTAATATCTCATGTTAGGATGGTACATTTGTTACAATGCATGAACCAGTACTGATACATTAATAACTAAAGTCCATACTTTAAGTATGCAGATTTCCTTAGTTTTTTTTTTGTTTTAATTTTTTTAATTTTATGGTGGTAAGAACATCTAACATGAGACCTACTGTCTTCCCAAAGTTTTAAGTGTATACATAGAACAGTATCATTATCTACAGGCGCAATGTCCTTCAGCGGATCCTTAGAACTTACTTATCTCCTGTAACTGAAACTTTGTACCCAGTAATTAGCAACTCTCCAGTTCGCCCACCTCCCAGCCCCTGGCAACCACCATTCTACTCCCTTTGACAATTTTAGATACATCATGAGTGGAATCATGCAGTATTTGTCTTTCGGTGATTGGCTTATAACACTGAGCATAATGTTCTCAAAGTTCACCCATGTTGTCACATATTGCAAGATTTCCTTCTTTTTTTTTTTTTTTTTTTTTTTTTTCAGTACGTGGGCCTCTCGCTGTCGTGGCCTCTCCCGTTGCGGAGCACAGGCTCCGGACGCGCAGGCTCAGCGGCCATGGCTCACGGGCCCAGCCGCTCCGCGGCATGTGGGATCTTCCCGGACCGGGGCACGAACCCGTGTCCACTGCGTCGGCAGGCGGACTCTCAACCACTGCGCCACCAGGGAAGCCCCTGCAGGATTTCCCTCTTTTTAAAGGCTGAATAATATTGGTACATACAAACAATGGAATATTACTCAGATTTCCTTAGTTTTTACCCAATGTCCTTTTTCTATTCCAGGATCCCATCCAGGACACATTACATTTATCTGTCATGTCTCCTTAGGCTCCTCTTTGGCTGTTCAGACAGTTCAGACTTTTTAAAAAAGAGATAACATAACTTTCTTTTAACAAAAATAGAACCCTACGTACATTCCATTTTGGAACCTCATTTTTTTCACTTAACAATATATCCTGGGTGTCCTTCTATGCTGCTAAATTTACTCCTGAAGTTTATTTTAGTAGGCAATTTTATCTCCTTTGGAAACACAGAGCATGATGTGAGATTATTTTTGATTCGAATTTTATCAATCACATCATTTGAGTTTAAAGTTAGAAAAAACACACATATACATCCATTCTTGTGTATGCATGGGCTATCCCTGGAAGTGTATGTTTTTGTTTAATATATTTATTTATTTAGTTATTCATTATTTATTTATTTTTGGCTGCGTTGGGGCTTCGTTGCTGCACGCAGGCTTTCTCCAGTCACGGTGAGCGGGGGCTACTCTTCATTGCGGTGCACGGGCTTTCATTGCGGTGGCTTCTCTTGTTGCGGAGCATGGGCTCTAGGCGTGCAGGATTCAGTAGTTGTGGCACGTGGGCTCAGTAGTCGTGGCTCGCGGGCTCTAGAGCGCAGGCTCAGTAGCTGTGGTGCACGGGCTTAGTTGCTCCGCGGCACATGGGATCTTCCCTGACCAGGGCTCGAACCTGTGTCCCCTGCAGTGGCAGGCGGATGCTTATCCACTGCGCCACCAGGGAAACCCCTGGAAGCGTATGTTTAACAGAAGCAGACACTGTCCCTGGGGAGGGACAAGAGGGAGACTTCCTTTTCGCTCTGTCTCCTTCTGTACTGTTTGAATTTTAAATATGTAAATTTTTAAAATTAAAAAAAATGTTAAAATATGCCCTATGGGACCCCTTCCCTTTGAGGAGGAAACGCTCTCTCGGTTGCCCTACGTGGTACCGGTAGGTTCTCTGTGCCCAGGCTGCTGGGTCAGAATCAAGAAGCCAAACTGGGCTCAAAGGGTAGCACTGGGCCTGGCCAGGGGGTGAGGGGAGGCGGTGGTCACAGCCTAGGGCCCGAGCTGAAATCGTGGCCACAGTTGAAGGAAGAACAGACAGGCTGGGAGGCTGGAGAGCTGGGTTCTGGCCCTGAACCTCCACTTCCCTGCAACTCGGGCGACTCCCCCACTCCCGTCTGGAGGTGACGGGCTGCATTCCCTGGAGGCCTCTGAAGCCCCTGAATGCCTCAGACTCTCTGAGAACAGACTAATCTGTGGCAGGAGGCCCAGGACATGGGCTGGAGCCAGAAGCTCATCACAGAACAAGGAAGTGGCAGGAACAGGGAGGCCGAATAAGGAAGCTAGTGGGGATGAGGACAGAACATCGGGGAGGGGTCAGAGGTTGAGCCTGGAGCAGCCTGGAGCACTTGGGTCAGTACAGAGACAGAAAGGACCCCGAAAAGGTCCAAAAGTGAGGGAGGAGGATGGCAGCAGAGAGAGTGACAAGGGATCCTTCTTGGGCCAAGAAGCCTTTTCCTTGGGCTGGGGAGCCAGGAAAAGAGACACGTTGAAGGCGTGCTGGGCCCAGGGCTGGGAGGTGGCCAGCTACGCACTGTGGGAGGGCGGGCAGACGGCACGTGAAGGTGGGTCCAGCAGGAGGACCCACACTGCAGGGCCCAGGGCCAAGGCCAAGCTGCAGGCCTAGGGAAGTGACTGAACTGCACACGGGTTCAGTCACAGTGGGCCGCTTCCGTGATAAACTCCACGCAAGAAACTACCCCCTTTGGAGCACTTGTACCCTGAGAAGGTTTTGTGCTATAAACACTTGATATCCTGTGATGTCATGAGGAACCCTGAGAGGGTCCAGTGGGGTAAGGCTTTCTCAAGTTTGCAAGCCTCCAGGACGGAAACAGCCCTTTAGTGCCTCTTGCCTCTGGGTTTTGGAACATGCTGTTCCCTCCTTTGGACAACCTTCCCCGCACACCTGGCAAACTCCCATCCATCCTTTAAAGTTTCAGCCTAGATGCCTCCTCTTCCAGGAAGCCTTCCCGTACACTCCCAGGTGGCATGTGGGGCTCACAAAGTTCCCGGAGCCTCTTCCCTCATAGCACCCCTTACCACATGCTATAACCACCCCCGAGAGCCTGTGAGCTGGGAAGGCAGGGACCTTGTCTTCTCTGACTGTGTGTCACAAGCAGAATGCTTGGGTATAGGAGGTGCCCTGTCAATACCTGCCAGATGGACATTGAAGAGCTGGGGTAACAGAAGGAGCTGAGTCAAACCCAAGGGAGCCAGGCATCTGGCACCAGGGATCCAAAAGGCAACCTTCGGGGCTTCCCTGGTAGCGCAGTGGTTGAGAGTCCGCCTGCCGATGCAGGGGACACGGGGTTGTGCCCCGGTCCAGGAAGATCCCACATGCCGCGGAGCGGCTGGGCCCGTGAGCCATGGCTGCTGAGCCTGCACGTCCGGAGCCTGTGCTCCGCAACGGGAGAGGCCACGACAGTGAGAGGCCCGCGTACCGCAAAACAAAAAAACAAAAAACAAAAGGCAACCTTCATAAATTACATACAAGGACCTGTAGGTACTTTGGTTAGATAAAATGGTTTAGATTCTCTTGTTAGGCTCATGACAGAAGGAATCAAAGTCCTCTAAAGTGCACAGCAACAACTGGTTTATGTTTAGAATTATTCTCCTACTTATTGAAGTTACAGAATTAAAAATTATTCTTCAACTTTCTGAAGTTACAAATTTCAAATTTAAAGCTCTTCATTAAGCATGTGAGTTCAACTTACAAATATCATTCTATATATTTCTTAATCTAGCAAATGTTGACAGTCATTCTCCAGGAACTTTTGATTAATGGGGCTGCATG